AATTTTAATAAAGTTAGAGACATGGTCTCACCATTAATATTAAAAAAAAAAAAAAAAAAAAAAAAAAAATATTTATATCTTTATAGTTTTTATTTTAGAAACTTGTATATCTTTTTTATTTTTTAACATGGTAAGCTTGTGTTCATTACTTGATTTTTTTGTAGAAAAATAGTTCTTCTTCTATTTCTTTATAATAAATAAAAATATTTAATTAGAGAAAAAACACTAAATAATAATAAAGTAGTTGTTATGTTGTATTAATGATAGACTAATAGCTCTTAATATATATATACATTCTGACTACAATTTTTCTTCAAAATTATAGAAGTACCCTCTCTACCATTATGTATAATTAATTATATTAATAACAGACTATGACTTTAGTATATATATACTCTTAATTGCAATAAACAAGTAGTTTGATACTAGATAAGACAAAGAGTCACTTAGTGTGTTGCAGGAGTCTAAATCTCTTCAAATTGTGGTGACAGTTTTTAATCATTGCGTACAACCCTATTTCAAATATTTTTTATCATAATATTATAATGCTTTTAGTTTTCTTAACATTTCAATAGCTTTTGCTTTTCATATATTGTTATATTTTTATTATGTTTACATCATTCCAGGCTTTTTTTCAAATGATCAATTATTTTTACTTTGACCATAGACTTTCTTTTGCACCAATCACCAAACTTATTAAGATCCCATTCTGATGCTGAAGTAACATCCAAATAGTCTTTCTTTGATTTCATAAATTTCATGACAACTTGGCATGGTATGGTTGAAATTTGTTTTATTGAAATATTGACCTATGATTTTTATTTGTTTTGATCATGCTACGTACATTACACATGATTTTGAAATCTGTTTGGCTTATGCAACAAAAATATCATGTGACTGTTCATCACCCCAGTATCGCCGGAGGATCTACGGACAATTCTTAGGGACAGATTAAATCACGTGAATTACTAGTTAGGGACAGTTAGGGACAGTTAAGGTTAGTGGTTTTAGCAATATCACGTGAATTTGAACTGTCCTTACTGTCCGTAAGAACTGTCCGTAGTGTGCAGTATCGCTATAATAAATTTTCCGATCACGTAATGATATACTAAAATTAGCCAATAAAGAATCTTGATCTGGTGTAACATCACGCTATCAAAAAATCACAAAACAAACGTCCATTTAGAAAAACTTGACTTTATCTCAAAAATTCACTTAAAAAACAACTCATCATGCATTAACAAAAAAAAATTTCTCGAGTAATTTTACTATATTTCTCTTAACATCCAATTTTAGTTTAGATGCTAACCCTAACGTATAACGTAAACAAACTTAGACAATTTTATCGATTATCACGTAATCGGAAAAATTTTGTTGGCGATACTGGGGAAGATTCACTCTGGTCAAATTTGCAGATCATTTGACCAGAATTAGAACAAAGTAATTTTTACTAGCGTAATTAGAAGTACATCACATTTGATTTTTATTCTTACGAGATCGCTTCAATTTTTGAAATGTTCGGGTGTAAGATAACGTTTGCAAGCAATTGGGGATCTTTCAGGTAAATAATCAGATATCATTTTCCATTCATTCCTATAAGTCTAATCAATTTATTCTCTTCATCTTTCGTCCATAGTGGCGTACATTATTCATTTTCATACATGTGAGTTCTTTGAGTAAAAGTTCTTGTTTATGTGTAGTAGCATATGATCTAATCGATTCTTGTACCATATTTTTCTAACAAGTCTTTTAATAATTGTTTTTTCTTTTTCGGTCCATGCTTTATCATCTGATATTGCCATGTGGTTCATATTCAAGTTTAGAAAGTTGTCTTTATATAAATTATAATATTCTTCTCAATCCTCTGATGTTTTCTCTGGTAATTGAGACACAATTTTATTCCAATCCTTACCGTGTATTTCTGTTAGATTCTTTAACTTTAATATATCTTTTACAGACCAAGGTTGAGCTGTAGTCCTCCTAGTAGTGTCAATGAAATGTCTATCAAAACCAGGGTTTGAAAAGAACATCGGGGTTTCATTTACCAATTGTTGTATTTCTCCGGGGATATCAAAGTCTTGAACTTGTATAATGTTACTAGAATGCCAATCTTTTCTGACTTTCATTAACAGCCTTGTTATCACTTGATATTTGTAAAAACACGACCTACTAGGGAGCCCCTCAGAAATCTTGCACCAATCGGTTTCATACTGTGATCTTAACTCTAAGAGTTTTCTTAATTCATTATAATGCTACACAAGAAAAAGTATAATTGTTAACTCTGTTACGTTATATTTTCGTAACAATGTAAAGTTTGTTCACATCGTTCAACAAAGACCATGTCGAAACAAGCATATAATAATGGTGTGGTTATAATCAATGTTCTTCATGCAAGAACAATCATTTATTAATAATAGCAGATCATTTAGGATGGTTTCGTGATAAAAGAACTACTATTGAAGATTTGATATTAGAACAAGGCGAAAAGTAGGATTGCGACTAGGGATGTAGCCCAAACCCGCTAGTTTGGAACTTAGTAGAATCTCAAAGGTTTTTACTAGATTCGACAAGTGTGTCATAACCCAAACTATATTTGGGGCTAACCGAAACTTACTGATTATACCCTCATTTTTTTGGGGGCATCCTAAGATTTTGCGATTTCCAAATTATTTATAGAACAATTACAAGTTCTAATGCAATCAAATAATATAATTTTATTATTTGATTACAATTAAAACTTGCAATCTATGCATCACTGATTGGTTGTTGAGGTTTGGATGTTCGATAAAGAATGACACAGGGTTTGGGATTTGGAATTCGGTCTAAAATTACGATAAATGTCTATCCCAATCCCAAATTAAGTAGAAATGTCGAACAACCGTAACTGGGGTTTGGGCTACATCCCTAATTGCGACCCAAACTTTTTGTTTTTAATGATGACATTATTATGTTTGGATTCTTACTTCATTTGGGATAATAGCCAAAATCCAAATATGTCCTATTTTCGGTAAATATATCAGATTTAAAAAAAACTAGTCAAATTTATTTAACCAATGTTATAAATTATTAACATTTCGTTTCCATTTTCAAATTTTAAGAATCTAAAAATAAACTTAATACTTTTTATAAATAAAAATATATAATTGATTTTTTTTCCTGGCAGTCCTGTTTTTATTAGAATTATTTGTAATTTTAAAGCTTATTATTTAAATATTTTACCCAAGAAATAAAATTATTAAATATCAAACTATTAAATATTTGATGTTTGAAACTGTGTTAAAGGAGATGCAATAAAAAATTGTTAAAAAACAATGCTTAATATTACAAAATAGAAATTAATAAAATTAGTAAAATTAATAAAATTAATAAAAAGAGAATTTCTATTTTTACACGGGGTGTATGTACACGGGCAATATAGATATTTCAAAATTTTGATTATAAAACCACCTTTTGGCTTCTAATAAAAAAAATTTCTTGTAAAATTTTGGTATAAGCTATACCTCGCCCAATCCCAACCTTACCCTTGCCCTAACCATAAGCGAGGGTTTAATTTTTCGTTTGCAAACATTGGTTTGATTAGCATGTTACACGAATTTGTAATTCAATTACTGTTTACCCGTGTATAAACACTACGTGTAAACTAATTAGGGTAGCTGCGCAGCGTGTAACGCGGCGCAAGACCAGTACGATCACTTACACGGTTGTGAAAAGCTCAAGGAAATCAATTTACCTATTCTCTTTTTTTTTTTTTTTCTTCTATTATTAGTTTCAGTTTTTTTTTTGCTTTAGTAGAATTAGACCCCATAACTTCTCCAA